CAACTATGGCGGATATATTAATTCAGAAGTCAAAATTAATACCTTCACTAACAATCCTTAAAAGTTGTAAACCATTGCGCAAACAGAACATAGGCAAAATGTGCGATAAATGTGACCCGTACCAAATTATTTAGTGGTCCATTCAGTACTGTTCATTGTACTGAATGGACCAACCCTTGTACTGAATGGACCACAAAAAAAGTTTTTTTTTTTATAAAAAAGATCAATATCTCTATCGCTAATAACTATAGCCGATATATTAATTCGGGAGACAAGATTAATATTTTAACTAACTATCCTTGTATATTGTATATTATAATAAAAGTTGTAAACAATTGCGCATAACAAGTTACATTATGCAAAGCAATTAGGGTGATAAATGGAGTTTAAAAACAAGAAAGAAGTATGTTGAAACATTGATATTTCTGAATTAATTAATACAACTTTAGACCGAAGTCTCAATCAGATAATCAAATTACAATAATCACAAACATATTGGCTGGCATTATCTGCACTTGTGCAAGCTTTATGTGCCCAGCTCGCACACTGTCTGCAACGGTACCACACTTCGTTGTCACGACCCATTTCTTCACATATAGCACACAAATCGTAATTTGATGTAATACCTCCACAAAAATTTAAACTATCTTTGACACCATTATCATTTCTTTCAACAAGAATATCATCAGCCTCATCATTATTATATGTCATTAATGGAAACTTTAGAGTTTTTGAGTTGCTTGATTTCTTTCTTGATTTCCTTTGACGTTTATTTTTAGCATCTTTTTGTTTTTCAGAAAAGTTTTGTTTTTTTAAATTTTGCTGAAGTTGTTGATTTCGAAGAGCCTCTTTAATTGGAGTATCAGTTAGAATCGAAGAGGAGAGCTTTTTGCGAGCACCTTTGGTTTTTTCTAAACGAGCTTTTGCAGAAGGATAAGGGCGTATACTTTCCACATTCAGGGTATTGCTAACATTTTTGTTGACCTTAACATTTCTATTTATTTCTACTGAAACTGGATAGATGTTGAGTGCTTCAGGATTAGGTCTAATAACTTCTACTGAAACTGGATTGATATTGAGTGCTTCAGGATTAGGTCTATTAATTTCAACTGAAACTGGGTTGATGTTAAGTGCTTCAGGATTAGGTCTAATAATTTCTAATGACACTGGATTGATGTTGAGTGTTTCAGGATTGGGTCTATTTGTAACCTGAGATAAAAAAAAATCCTCATCCTTCCACCGATCAGGTTAAAAAGGACTTATTCCAGATACTGAAAAACCACTAATGATGTTAACTGGCATTGATACTTTTGCCCAAGTCTTTCCAGAAATTTCTGCAATGTCATAGATTGAAACAGTTTTTCCTGGATGTGATACCAACCAGCTATCAATTTCACGTTTATAATGACGTTTGAAAGGTCCATACACTGTTATATCTAACGGTTGCAGTTTGTGTGATGTATGGGGTGGGATTGTTAAAACAATTACACCATTATCTGATGCTAAGTCAATAAAGTTAATTGACAAATGAGACTCATGATTATCTAGTATCAACAGCACAGGGTTTGTCTTAGATGGTCGAACACTTTTTATAAAATGATTAAACCACTCCATAAAGGTTGATTCCACCATCCACCCAGATTTGTTGGCAGTGCCAACAGAACCAGGAATTGAATTTCGCAGAAAAAAATCTTTAAAATGAACACGTGGAAATATGTAGAATGGTGTTATTGAGGATCCACTTGCATTTACTGCATTGCACATTGTTACCAAGATACCTCGTTCTGCACTTGTAACAGAAGCAACTTGCCTCTCTCCTCTCTTGGCTAAAACATGCTCTGGCACTTGTACAGTAGTAACACCAGTCTCATCAACGTTCCATATATCATTTGGTGAAAACTTGTATTTAATCAAAAGACTTTGCAGATTATTATAAAATAGATTTACATTATACTTGTTGAATGCTGACATTCGACCAATTGATGTTGCCTCTGGTTTTCTTATAACAAGTTCTGGATGACGACTTAAAAAAGCTCTAAACCAATCTACACCTGCATGTTTATTTGTTTCCCAAGGTTTAGCAGAACCTCGACGAGAATGTGGACACTTCTTCTCAAGTTTGAGAGCATATTCAAATGTTAGTGCTCTTAGCTTGATAGGACTTAACCCATATCCCATTTTTGCAGAAACTAAACAATATTGAACCAGCTCTTGTTCTTCTGTTACTGAAAAAATTTTCATAGAACTCTTACTATATGGAACACATTGCAACTTATTCAATCCATTTTGAGATAGTCAAGCTTCTTTTATTCGCCTCTTAAGAGTTGAACGTTTGACTCCAAATATCTCAACAGCTTTTCTTTCAGATAGAGTTTTATTTAAAACATTTTCAACTGCTTGGATCATATTATTGGGATCCCAATCACCTTTTAGTGCTGTTGCTTTTCGATGTCTCATAATACTTCTGAAATAAATAAAACTTGTTTATAACCATATTATAAAAAAAAATTATCGATGCTATTTTATATATATATACATATATATATATATATATATATATATATATATATATATATATATATATATATATATATATATATATATATATATATATATATATATATATATATATATATATATATATATATATTTAATTATCTAAACACACACACGCACGCACATATAACATGTATAAAAAACTAAATTATATAAAAGCTTGAATGTAGAATAATTTTTTTATTATGATCAACAAGCTTTAGTAATTTTATTCTTGGTTTTATTAGATATTACTTGATTTTTTGTATTGTAAAAATTACTGACCATGGTAATTGTCATTGTTTTTAAAAACGTATAAATAACATTTCAGATATATTATACAATATCTAGCATATAGCTTATCTAGCATATTATATGCCATATAACATATCTAGCATATAACTTTTATTATATATAGTATATATAACAAATGTTATATGCTAGATGTTATTAAAAGTAATACCACCTTATTTATATATCGTAATAATATTATGACATTCAGTTATTGAAATAATGAAACAAACTACAAATTAATAATTATTAACCTAATATGTAAGCTATTAGTCTGCTTATCTTAATATTATATTATCTGCTTACCTTAATATTATATTGAATAATGAATAATTGAACTTGCGCCCTTAAGTCTTCGTTAACTAGATATTTTGGTTTATTTCCTAACTCACATCTCCTTAGTTCATTTAGATAAAAAAACTTCTGTATTTTGTTTTAGTAAGTAAAATACTGAAGCGCGATAAATAACTTCGCAGAAAAATGAACCGGTCCATTCAGTACAATCAATGGTGGTTCATCCAGTACACTAATCAAAATGTACATGTTACCCATATAATCACAGCAATCAGTAAATCATATAACATTCATTCTAATGTTATACAAAGTAAAAAATATGTATCTATAATATTATTATTAACCATAGTTAACTTTACCTTAAAAATCTAGTGTAAATTGAAACAAATTGAAAAGATAAAAATTTACTTTTTGCTCGAAAAAAACAAAAAATGCAAATATTAATGCATTATTACGAATAACGTTAAACCAAAAATATCAAAGAAACTTTGAGTATACAAAAATTATATGCAATTAAAAAAAATCAATTAACAGCTTGTTAAGTTTTTATTTTTCTAATGGTCCATTCAGTACAAGGTCCATTCAGTACCACTCTCCCCTACGCTCAATTCTGTTGCGTGTTTAAAACCTTCTAAAACAAACAAAAAAATAACGCCTGTCCAAAATGGTTTTCATTCCGTGAAATTAACTATTAATACTTACCATAATTACCAGTTAAAATATTGATGGTTTCAACGTAACGGAAACCTCAAAAAACACATTTTAAACTACCTGTAATATACACGCGTTTTTGGTTTACGCCTGGATCATGACAAACACGTGTCTATACAGGTTTTAATTCCAAAAAAGAACCTAAATTTGCCAGTTGGGTTGGTTCTTTCAATAATTTTATTTTCTATTTTTATCCATACTCAGTAGGACAGAAATACCAAAAAGTCAATGTCAGCATTACTCGGTGAAAATTTGTTATAATGGTGAAGACATGTTCATTAGAGGAAATATTTAATTAAAAAAACATTAAATATTAGTTTAAGGGTTATTTTATGCGGTAATTTACACTTGAATTTGACATGTGTTCCAAAACGCTATTTTGCATTTTATTTATCAATTTTCTTACGCTACTATTATTTTAAATTAACTTTATTGACTTTCATTTTAAAATATACTATTTTAATTAATAATGTTTTTTTTGCTCAGACTTTTAAAAATAATTTCACGTAAGTGTAATCATTAGTTTTTATGCATCGAAAACAGACAGTTTTCGATATTTTTTTTTTGCTATTAACCTTTACTAATCCGTAAGTAGTACCAGATAAACCATCCTCCAATATTATCCAAACATTTGATTATGTAAATTTCATGCTAAATGTATGTAAATAGACATGCATCATAAATATTTTGCTACTTTTTGCAATAAAAAAAGTTATAACAAAACATTGATCTTCGGTTAATGATCAGTTGATGTTCTCATCAGAAATACTGAACATGTAAAAAAGATGTTTTGTACACAAAGAATACCTACAAAATCTTTCATTACTGTTATAATATAGTTCTGTTATAAGTTCTGTAAATATAAGTTTAAAAAGTTATTTTATGACAAATAAATGCATTTAAAGTAATATTTTTGATGTTTACTGATAAAAGTTGTCTTGTCCGTTAAAAATATTTTAAAAATATTTTTCCATTTTTTTAAGTAACATAGCATGATCGAAAGTGTCGAATGGTTTTGATAGGCCAACAAAAGTGTCTTCAAAAAGTTTGTTATTATCAAAAGAATCATTTTTTTTACGAGATCTAATATTGCATGTTCGGTTGAAAGTTGCTATTGAAATTCGAAATATTTTTTATTTAAATCTTTTTATTTGTTAGGTATATATATAGTTTATTGCAAATTATTCGTTCGAGAAGTTTAGAATAGACTGAATCAGTTATTCAGTAAAAGTGACTCTCCGGTTTTGAATATCGGTACGACTTTTGTAATTTTTAATTTATCTGCAATAGTTTATGTTGTAATTGATGGTTTAAAAATTTTCACCGGAAAGACACTTATTACGCCATTGCTACAAATCTCGATGCTTTGTTAACTTTTAGGGAGTTCTTTGCAACTTCGAGTTCATCATAACTTAGTCCATTGAATTTTAGTTCGCTATGTAATCTGTCTGTCTGTAAGATCTATCTGTAAGATTTTTAAAAGAGGTATTTGGGCATTAAATTTTGGACACAATGTTAAGACTAATGTTTGCAAAGAAACTGTTAAAACGTTCGGCAATAGAATATTTGTCGTTGTACTCTGTTTCATTCGCAACAGTTCTATCAGGTAAGATTTGTTTTGGTATTTTTAGTACTGATTATTTCTTTCATGATGCTCCATTATTTTTTATCATCACCATTCCCCAGCGCTCACAGGCGTCTGTTAGACGTCTATGCGACGTCTTATAGACGTTATAAGTCGGTAGGACGTCCATAAGACGTCTTATGGACGTTTGTGCCCACTGGGTTGGTTTTTGAAATTTTTGAATTGTATTTTTTTTTTTTTTTTAGAGTTTTTTCTTATTTTTTCATAAAGATTTTTGTATTGCTTGTAGATAGATAAGTTGACTTCATTTCTGCTTTTAAAATACTTTATGTAAAGTTTTGGCTTTGTTTTACACGGCGATTTTTTTTTATTGATTTTCTCCAACTTGCTACGATTTTTTCGATAACTTGCTACGAATTTTCCAACTTGCTACGAATTTTCCGATACGGACGTAACAAAAACAGTTTATCTTATTTTTACGCGCCAATTTTCTCCGAATAACCTATTAAAAAATTCATATTGGTTTCTGGACTATCTTTTTACCGATAAAATAACTTACTATCAAACTCGTGGATAGACTCCATCCACGATGCATCTTAGGATCTAAAAATTCATACATGGATTCATAATGTGTATATCTAAAATTCCAGTTTACAATATATACTTTCTGATGATTGATGTCGTAAATATATACGTATTTCATTAAAAAACAGTGATTTTTATGTCTATTTCGCTTAAAACTACTATTTAACTGTAATTTAGATATATAGTTGTAAACTGAAATTTAATTAGATATATAGTTGTAAACTGAAATTTAACTTTATAAGTAATAATATTGATAGTTAGGGAAACCGTCATTTAGTCTATCCAGCTGATTATTTCTAGTTTTAGTACTAGTTTTTTAAATAAATTGAATTTCAATATCTATATAGCTTTTAAAAAGCAGATTTTGTAAAAAACCACACGATATATATTTACACTTGAAAATACATAATATATATCTATAGCCCTAATTCAATGATAAAGATGATATTTTTTTGCAACTTTTCATAAAAATAAAAAAATTGCGTACGTTTTGGACTAAATTTCCTTATTCTTAAAATAAAGCTATGGGAATTTTTAAGACAAAAAAAAATCTCCGTGATAGAGGACTTTTTAATTCAACTAGTAATCCCTGGATAGTTCATATATCTTAATTAAAGTATTTTTTCTTTGATTGGGAAATAATTATCATAATGTTTTAGGAAAATATCTATGAATGTATTATTTGCGAAGTTTATGTTTTAAGGTTGCATTCTTTATATATTTCATCGCATTCTACTACTGATAGTGTGTCTTTAGATTTTTAAATACAAATTTCGTTAATATTCCTTATGTAAATTTTAATTTTAGATTTTTTATTTATCCTTGTATCATCAGTTATTGAAAGGTGAATTAGGAAGTGAAAATTTTGATTTTAATTATAACTATCTAGAAGTTCGTTTTCAAGATATTATCTATATCGGAAATTGAATTTGGGGTTATTCGTGAAGGTTTGTTGATGATTGGATAGATACAATGTTGGAACATGTAATCAAAAAAAATTTTTTTTTAGGCCTGCCTATTTAAAACTCAGTAAAGAGACTATTTTCTTTCTTAAAGTAAAAACATTTTACATCCAAACTTTTTCTTTACTTCAATATATATATATATTTTTGTGTGGTTATTAAAGTGCTCTAAGAAGTCATTACGTTCTTATCACAGAGTACAACGGAAGAGCATTTGATCAGGAAGTTCACGTCTCATTTTTTTACAAATATCGCTTATTTGGCTATAACCGGGAGTCAAACTTTGGACTTCTTGGTTCTGAGGAAGAACTATAACCACTGCGTCACGGGTCAGGACAGCTAGCCTAATTATAAACCGTCTTTTCGATCTCGAAACGTGATTTCTTTTTTTTGTTTAGTTTTTGAGTTGTTTAGCCTAATGGATTTTGCAAACTGTTTAATTTTACAGAGTTTTCGAATCATTTGTATTACGAATTTTTAAAATTGTTTGATTTTAGTTTCGAGCCTAAACTCAAATTGTCTGTTCACAATGGTAAACAATATTTTCTGTTTAACTTATACTTATTTAGCCAATATTCTTATATAAAACAAAATTATAAAAACATTTCACAAAAATTTTTCAAATTTTAGATTAAGAGCCATTTTTAGAACCAGGCAGTCAGTGGAAGTGACCCCCTCCAAGTTGCTTGAATTTTTTAAGTATTGCTCAGAATATAAAAAAAAATCAAAAAATGGTTCGTTCACTCCGATTTCTAAATGTTTGAAAAATATTTAGAAAATAAGTTTTTGCTCTCTTTAAACCATTTTTAGACAAGGCGAGATCCTAAAGATTGTTTTTGTAGTTAGTATCAGACGTAAACAATAAGCTCTCTATAAAAAATGAAACTGCGCGGTTGGCTAATTATTATAGGTAGTTCAAAAATAAAGAAACACCTAGTTTTTTCAATTAAATGGAGGTTATTTCTAACGGCAAATAGTTGCAATTTTTTTTTTTTTTTTGCAGGATTTGTAAGTATGGTACGTGATGTGTTTAAAAATGCAAGGAAATTTATGTGATACCTAAAGCTTATTGATATATTTAGGTCTATCCGTATATTAAAGCTTAAAATTAAAATAAAATGTTATAGTATTCTCACAAAATAACACATTGGAAAAAAACTGCACGTAATTTCAGCAAAAAATTTAAACGACCGACAATGATATAGAAATCTTGGCAGTTGAAGTATTAATAATGAAATAAAATATACCATCAGAGAAGATTTAGCTTACGTCATAAGCAAATAATTTAAGGCATTTGAAATTTTTCGGAAAACACGATTACGGAAAAACCAGTGGGTGGGCAATTTTCATAAGAAAATTTTAATCAATATCAAAGTTTCTTAACGATTTTTAACATTTGCATAAATATAGTAAGTATTTTGTTGTCTGTATTAAGAAAGAGGGGCTGCGTAAATGGAACTGCATATTATGGAACGAAACAATTTTTATGAAAACTGTTCGCGAGGTTAGAATTATTTTGTTTTATCTCCACTTTTTGAAAAAAATGAGTTATTAATTGTGTAATGTACCTCAAAATAATGTTTTTCTACTATATTAAAACCTAAGTTAAAATCAAAAAAGTTTCGGAGAAAACATAAGTAATAAAAATCTTTTTATATGCCGTCTCCTAAGTTTTAATTTTTAAATCGTTTTATCTCGAAACAAAAAAATGTGGAGATAGAACAAAATAATTCTAACCTCGCGTGTTGTTGCTTTTCCAATGGAAATTGTCGATCATTGATTTGAAAATAAAGTAACTTTCCCGGGATTCTGGCCTTCTTTATAATCCCAAAATCCCGGAATTGTCTAGTATCAATGCAGGGGCTCCCTATTAGATTAAACAAAACAAAGCGTAATGAACATATATATATATATATATATATATATATATATATATATATATATATATATATATATATATATATATATATAATATATATATATATATATATATATATATATATATATATATATATATATATATATATATATATATATATATATATATATAAACAACAATTTATGCATCTTAATAAAATAATTAAAAAATAGTATAAAATTGCAGAAAATAATTGTATTTTTAGTCTTACAATAAAAAAAGTTATCGAAAAGGTTTAAAATAAAAAAGGTGAAAATCTTCGTAATATCTCATGTTGGTTAGTTACTCTGGCCTTTTCTGCAATTCTGCAAAACAAGTTTTATTCAAACAAAAAATAGCGCTTTTCTTATAAGTTAGACTCTTAAAATTAAAAACTAAATAAGCATGACGTTTGTGGATTTTACAATTAAAAGTAACTCAGCTGTTTGGAAATAATTTCTACGGAATGAGAAAACCAGACAGCGATGTTTAAATTGCCAAACTTCACAAAGATTTTAAAAATCGGAGGTGATTTAACAAAAAGACTTCGTATACATATGTTGTCGGAACATAATGCAAAGGTCAAAGGTCCAACCCAACCTAATATTACCGAAGATAGTGCATCAAATAAACTACCAAAAAAAAATCTAAACCACTAACATAATACTTTTCCATTTATGAAAGGAAAGATAAAACTTATGATTGCATAACGGCGTCTGATGTGCCTTCCATTTAATGGGATTTTTTCTTCAACAGATTTACGTGGCGTTATAGAATTCAGAAATCTAAAAACGTCAGTAAACACAGTTTGTAATGATGTACAGCAAAAAAATAAAATTAGGTTTAGATCATCAAATTAAAACGCGCAAGAAAACAAAATTCGAGATAGGGAGAGTATTTCTTTTTATTTTGACAAATGATGTAAACTGACTGTAAATGATGTTCTTAATAAAAAGAAAGAATTCGTTGAAAATAAACCAGAATTTGAAAATGAATTTTCTGAGAGTGATTCATACGAGAATGACGAAATTTAGGAAGATTTACTGGGCTAAAATTATGAAAAATATAAGACCTAAAATTGAGCTAAATGAATTTGATTACTGGCTAGTCATAACAAAAATACGCAAATTGACACTAATATTTAGACGATCTGATCGTCTAAATATGGTGATCAGATCACCTAACAAGTACGATATCTTACAAAAATATATTAAGGCTGAGTCTGAAAAATACGGTGGAGCAGCCTTTTGTTAATGCTTAAACTAATTTACAAAATAAAAAGCTGTATACAAAAATCATTAATTGATATTTACGTAGTCCAAGATAATTCTATAGTTCAGTCACATGATGAAGTGACAATCAGAGATTACTACAACTTAAATTTCCATTAAAGCAATGGTTGAAGCACTTTGTCGCCGAGATTCTAAACTTTTTACAACCATAGCTAATAATTTTGTGCTTACAAAATTAAAAGACGCTGACAATAAAACAAGTAAAGAAATGTGTGCAACATTAGTGGTTTGTATTCATGAACGCAAAATGGTCGTATGCATCAACGCCGAAATGATATAAGAAGA